CAACATTAATTGTCATAATAAATGAATTATAAGAAGAACGCCTTTGATTCGTACACAAGAAACAATCTAACACTTATGTTAAATTCATAAGGAGAGGAACTATTCAACTAAGACAGGTTTTTGTAAGAATTAAAAATTCAAGAGTTGAAAAGTACGAACATTGACAAAGAAAATATTTGGGGAAAAAAAAAAAAAATGTAAAAGAAGCGTCAAATAAAACCTCCACCGGTAAAGAACTGTCATCTTCAAATCAAGCATAAGCCAAAAACAATAAGCTCCAAATTTCGAATTTTCAAATGCATGGTTAAACCGCTACGCTCTTTGACCAATCACCATTGCTCTGCTTCTTCATGCCTCCCCTGCTTGATTCTCCACTTATTGTACTATAAAACCCACCCTCTCTTTTCATCTTTCTCCATTCATTTCTATTCAATCTTCATCTTTCTCTTTCAAATTCATACAATACCCAACAATGGTGCTCTCCAAAACTTTCTCAGAATCGGATGTCTCTGTTCATTCCACCTTTGCCTCTCGCTATGTGCGGGACTCTGCTCCAAGATTCACCATGCCCGAAAACTCCATGCCCAAGGAGGCTGCTTTTCAGATCATCAACGACGAGCTCATGCTCGATGGCAACCCCAGGCTCAATTTGGCTTCCTTCGTCACCACTTGGATGGAGCCCGAGTGCGATAAGCTGATTATGGACTCTGTCAACAAGAACTACGTCGATATGGACGAGTACCCTGTCACCACCGAGCTTCAGAACCGATGTGTCAACATGATTGCCCATCTCTTCAACGCTCCCTTGGGAGACTCCGACACGGCGGTCGGAGTTGGCACGGTGGGATCCTCGGAGGCCATCATGTTGGCGGGACTGGCCTTCAAGAGGAAGTGGCAGAACAAGCGGAAAGCAGAGGGGAAGCCTTATGATAAACCGAACATCGTGACAGGGGCGAATGTTCAAGTTTGTTGGGAGAAATTCGCGAGGTACTTTGAAGTGGAGCTGAAGGAAGTGAAGGTGAGAGAAGGGTATTACGTGATGGACCCTGTCAAGGCGGTGGAGATGGTGGATGAGAACACCATTTGCGTCGCCGCCATTTTGGGGTCGACTTACAATGGGGAATTCGAAGATGTGAAGCTGTTGAATGATTTGTTGGTGGAGAAGAACAGGAAAACAGGGTGGGATACTCCCATTCACGTGGATGCTGCGAGTGGCGGATTCATAGCGCCGTTTTTGTATCCAGACCTCGAATGGGACTTCCGGCTTCCGTTGGTGAAGAGTATCAATGTGAGTGGGCACAAGTATGGGCTTGTCTACGCCGGAATTGGATGGGTCATTTGGAGAACCAAAGAGGATTTGCCTGAAGAGCTGATTTTCCACATAAATTACCTCGGAGCGGATCAACCCACCTTCACTCTCAACTTCTCCAAAGGTAAGATCATCCCAATTTCTCTAATCAAACTCCATTTCCTCCCCATCAACACTCTAATAATTTCCCCATGAATCCGGTTTCAGGGTCAAGCCAAATCATCGCTCAGTATTACCAACTAATCCGCTTGGGTTTCGAGGTAAGAGATGGGTTCGATTCCGTGTGAAAACATTCCATTTCTCGATGAATTTGGGTGATAATGATAATGGGTATATAATGAACAACAGGGGTACCAGAACGTGATGCAGAATTGTCACGACAACGCAATGGTGCTGAAGGAAGGGCTGGAAAACACAGGAAGGTTCAGCATAGCGTCGAAGGACATGGGGGTGCCGGTGGTGGCGTTCTCTCTGAAAGACAGAAGCCGGCACGACGAATTCGAGGTGTCGGAAATGCTGCGACGGTTCGGGTGGATCGTGCCGGCATACCCAATGCCAGAGGGGGCGAAACATGTGTCGGTTCTTCGCGTGGTGATCAGAGAAGACTTCTCGCGCACGCTTGCAGAGAGGCTGGTGCTTGATATCGTGAAAGTGTTAGCCGAGCTTGATACTCTGCCACCCAAGAACAGTGGAAAATCGACAAGCTTAGAAGACGGCAAAAAAGAGAAGGCAGAGGAAGCAGGGAGGGAAATAGCGAGTTATTGGAGGAATATAACCAAGGCTAGGAAGATGAAGCTTGCTGAGACTCAAGCTGGTCCTTCAGTAACAGTCATTGCCAAATAAGATAGAGGACACTCTGCAATTTTCGATGGCTTTAAATCCAATCAAAAGAAAATAACATTTTTTTCTTTCCATTTATGAAATTTTGAGATTGAACTTCATATGAGTTGTATTGTAATTTCCTTTTTCCTCTTATGGTAATGTAATGAGTTCTTAAATGGAACAATAAAGTAACTTCATTTAAAAATTAAAACTCCATGCATATACATTGGTGCTGAAGGAAGGCAAAGGAAACAGAGAGGGAAATAGAGAAGGCAAAGGAAAAAAAAGAGAAGGCAAAGGAAATAGAATAATATATACATTGGTGCTAAAGCTTAGAAGACGGCAAAAAAGAGAAGGCAAAGGAAACAGAGAGGGAAATAGCAAGTTATTGGAGGAATATAACCAAGGCTAGGAAGATCAAGCTTGCAGCAAATCAAGCTGGTCCTTCAGTTACCGTAATTGCCAAATGAGAAGATCATAGTTGCTGTTAAGGAAATAAGTTCCTTTCATTATTATTATTTTTGTTCTAAATTTTTAAAGGTTTGACCTTCATTTGACTATATTTATGTCCCAAGATTTGAAATAGAATAATATATATATTTTTTAAACTCTTTTGAGCAAATCATAATTTGGTATGTAATTTATGTAAAGCCGTGGGTTATGCAACCAATTTAAGTTTGAGAAAAAATATTTAAAATAAAGAACAATGATTTAAAAAAAAAAAAAAAAAAAAAAAAAAAA